GTGTGTGTGTGTGTGTGTGTGTGTGTGTGTGTGTTCAGAGATCTCCGGTTCATTGAGGTGGTAGAGAACGTGTGTCAGCGCCTGCTGGACTACAACCTGCACAAAGAGAGGACCGGCAGCAACCGCTTCGCCAAGGTCAGCGTGACTCCGCCTCCGTTTGTTTTTCCTCTGCAGGTCGACGACCTCGGGCCGTGCCACATGTTTGCTTTGTATTTGTTTCATTATCTTGTTTTTGTTTGAACTACAAACCCAGTCTAATGAGGAGGGATTTAGTTTTAAAGTGAAACCAGATCGTGTAGTTTTCCTGCAGGTTTTCAGTAACGAGTGTTTTATTGACCAGAATCTGAGTGGAAACAAACAGGAAGCACTTCAGACTCTGAAAAGAACCATCAAACACGATCGTTTCTAAAACGCCGGAGTCCTCATTAATCGCAGAGGAAAACAACGAGCTGCGTCTTCCTTTGGTTGTGTGCTACGTGTTAGCAGATTGTTTGACGGGTGGCTGTCAGAGCTCTGATCCGGACCCTGGTGTGTGCAGGGCATGTCGGAGACCTTCTCCACCCTTCATGGTTTGGTGAATAAAGGCGTGAAGGTGGTGATGGACATCCCCTACGAGCTGTGGAACGAGACGTCCGCCGAAGTGGCCGACCTTAAAAAGCAGGTAGTTTTCTGAAGGCACGCAGCTGAAATCCCCCGCAGAGCTAACAGTGGTGACCTAACCCTGCTCGACGTGTCGCTGTGGTCAGTGTGACGTGATGGTGGAGCGCTACGAGGAGGTGATCGAAGACTGGTACAAAGGAAACCAGGAGGAGGACCTGACCACCTACCTGTGTGAGAAGCATGTTCTTAAAGGAGAAGACGCAGGTAAACAAGCATCCATCCTCATTTAGGGCTGAGATTTTACACAGCAGGAAATAAACTGGTCGTCACCTGCTCCTTAACGACTTTTAAAATAAAGATTAAAAAAACTTCCATCTTTCTATTAGCGGATTAGCTTTTTTGCCAACTTTGGAAACTATTAACAGAGCAAATAGGTTCTGATAACTTTAAGTCTACTAAAATTTTACTAGTGTAAAACATCTATTTTTATGTCATTTAAATAAAAATTAAATAAAAACTATCTGCTATTACAAGTACTGCTGGCTGTGTTAGCATATAGCAACGTTAGCTGCTAAACTTCAAACTGAGGGCATCGAAAAGAAATCAAATACCGTTTTACAATTTCTAAATGAATACAAAAACTGACTATGTATAAACTATAATAAAGTAGTTCCATTTAGCAGTTAGCATTAGCTTCCCCTAATTTTTAATCCATTTAATGGTTAGCATTAGCCTGGTAAAAACCAGACTCTTGTCCTTCTCTTTGCTTCGTACGAGGGTCTGGACTCTCGGCTAAAGAGAAGCGATTCGTGCTGGAGGCGTGGCCTCTGCTGAAGTTTAAAATGATTGGATCGGTTGGCCATGACAAACTGTATGTGTGCCAGCTCCACTGTGAAGGAGGCTAAGCTAAGAAGCTAACCGGAAATCACATGTGCTGTAAACAACCCTACTTAAAGGAGAGAAGTACCGAACCGAACCAGACGACTGTAAATGAGAGCTGCTGCTTTGCCAGACACATTTAATTTATTTATATAATTTATCAACACAGACTGGCTTCATTCACTTCCTCCACTGCCGTATGCTAAACTAACTAGCAGACACTGCGCAGAAAATTGATGTTGTTCAAAACTCCTCCTTCTGTTTGCTGATTGGTCCAGGTAAAATAAACTACAAGCAGACACTGCACAGAAAATTGATGTTCTGTTCTCTGATTGGCCCGGATGAAATACTCCCGAAGAAATCCTTGTCTATGGGAGAAATCCCAGACGGAGCAGAGAAGGGAAACTGAACTGCGTAGGAAGGCAAGGGCAGGCTAGGTTAGCATTAGCTTCCCTTAATTTTTAATCCATTTAGCGGTTAGCATTAACTTAACCAAATTTTTATTCCGTTCAGTGGTTTAGCGTTAGCTTCTCAATTTTTTAAATCTATTTAGGAGTTAGCATTAGCTTCCCCTAATTTTTAATACATTCAGCAGTTAACGTTAGCTTCCCTAAATGTTTAATCCCAATTAGCAGTTAGCGTTAGCTTCACTTAACTTTTAATCCATCTAGAAGTTAGCATTAGCCTCTCCTAATTTTAAATACATTCTGCAGTAAGTGTTAGCTTCCCTAAATTTTTAATCTATTTAGCACTAGCTTCCCTCTATTATTTGTTCATTTAACGGTTAGCGTTAACTTCACCAATTTTTTTATTCCGTTCAGTGGTTTAGCATTAGCTTCTCAATTTTTTTTATTCCATTTATGAGTTAGTGTTAGTTTCTCCTAATTTTCAATCCATATAGTGGTTAGCATTAGGTTCACCTAATTTTCAATCCATTTAGCGGTTAGCATTAGCCTCCCCTAATTTTTCATCCGTTTAGCGGTTAGCTTCCCCTCATTTTTAATCGGTTTACCGTTAGTGGAACTAAGATTCTTGTTTAGCGGATTAGAGGTTAGTGAAGCTAACGTTTTGTTAGCTGTTTCCACCTACAGGCCTCCTGAAAGTATAAGTTAAGCTGCTGACACAGCATATTTTAGCTTCAAAAAGGCCAGAATATCCCTTTAAATAACACCAAAACAATAGGAAATGCTTCAGAAGTCTGTGTTTTCATGGAGAACCAGAAGAAAATTACAGTAAGGCGCAAAAGAAAACACGATTTGAGTGAAACATCACAGCTGTAAACACACTGCTTCTGCATTTAGACACATCTTTTTAAATAAATAATGAAAATATTGTCTGTAATATTCAAACCCTCTGCTCCCCGTCCCTCCTTCATCCTCCCAGCCTGTCTGCAAGAAAACTGGAGTTCAAAGAAGAAGGGGGACCCGGCGGCCATCGCCGAGGACACGAAGAAGAAGAAGAAAAAGAAGGGGGGGAAGAAGGGTAAAGGCAGGGGGGAGGAAGAAGGAGGCGGGGCCGGCGGCCCTGAGAAAGAGAAGCTGACGAAGAAGAAGAAGAAGGACAAGGTGAAGAAGAAGAAGAAGGGCCAGGCTCCCATGGAGAAGATGGACGCAGGCGTGACGTCGGACGAAGAGTTCCAACCACAGGAGCCTCTTTCTGGGCTGAAGACGGAGCTGTGAGTCTGGGTCTCAGTCTGGTACCAGAACCGAGGTTCTGTTTGCCGAGTGAGAACTTTTCTGTCAGGTTTGATGATCAGAAATTAGACTTTTAAAATGTTTTCAGGACCTCCCTCACCTTTAACGACTCGGTACAATCTTTTTACTAACTCCAGTTTGGTTTCAGTTTCTTGGATTTTATTTTGAAGTTTGATTTTATTTTATTTTTTTTATTTTTTATTAATTTTTTTGTTCTGTAGTGAAAAACATCTTCAATCCAAACTTCATTCCACTTCATTATAAGAGATGAAAAGCTGAATTTCAGGAGACTTTTAGATGTTGCATTTGAGTTTGAGACTAACAGACTGTAAAACAAGACATGGTTTATTTTTAAAGGGGCAGTATCATGTAAAATCAACTTTTTTGAGTTTTATATCTTGTTATAATGTTATACTCTCATAAAAAACATGCCCAAAGCCTTGCTTTGACTCATTCATGCATGTTTGAGAAATCCTGCAGTGTTTTTATGAAGTCATGCTGAGGAGCAAAACGACAGGCGGGGACCAGAAACGCCCCTGGGATGTGTCTTTAAGCCGAACTTCCTCATGGCAGAGCACCCCCTCCCCTCCCCACACACCCCGCCCATGACTCCTGCAGGCTCTCGGGTGAAAGTGAAAGTGAAACTGAAACTGTCTGCTGAGCTCCTAACACTTCTCACTCAGTGAAGCTCTTTCCAGATTCAAAATACCTTTGAGGAAATGTATTTTCAGATGCCAAGTAAACTGCATCATAGCGCACGCGCGAAACCCACCCGCACTGAAATGGGCGGGACAGAAGCGGAAGGTGGTTCTTAAAGAGACAGAGGCCAATTTCAAGGCGTTTAGAAGAGGGCATGATGTGAAGATGTTTATTTTCTATTTAAACATAAAAATAGCATTTTAATAACAACAAAAGGTGACATAGATACTTTATTATGGTATAGTATTTAAATATATGCCTGAGAAACACATAATATTGCCCCTTTAAAATAGCGTTGCTCATTTCACAACTTCCTTTTGTTTGGTTTGAGCTTTCCTCTTTCAACTTAAGTCCAGAAATCTTCATTAGAACATGATCAAAAATAGGATTCAGACCCATTTTCCAAACGTCATCCTGATTAAGACAAATCAATCTGTGGAACTGCTCAGGATGGTCCAGGAGTCAAACTGGAGATTCAAATGGAATCTTAAAGTGTGCTTCATTTTTATTGGTTGTTTGATGTGATAAGTCACAAACATGATAAACATGTTTTTTGTTTTATTTTTTTAATCAGTGTTCGACCCTTCAGCTTTTTCAGTGATGCAAACCAGATGTTCCACTTTCCTACGGAGCCTACATGTTCTTTAATTTGTCTTTGTTTAATTCAATACGTTTGTTCTGTGTGCCGTACAAAAGCTGCTATATAAGACGTGTGTGTGTGTGTGTGCGCGCGTGCGCGCGCGCGCGTGTGTGTGTGTGTTGACCTCTGCTACAGATGAGTGTGTGTTTTTGGTGTGTGTATTTTTACAAGGTTTTTATGGTGAAGTGAAATGCTGAATTCATTTTAGTTTTTTGAAAATTTGTGAAAATTCAGTGAATGAATAAACAAGTCAAAACATAAAATATGTTTACTTTGAACCTGTGTACTTCATTTGTTAAATGCATTAACTTCATCTGACATAGTTTCAAAGCAACGTTTTGATTTTAAATATTGTAATGTCCACATTTGACCACTAGATGGAGGACGATTTCCTGTTTCACTTGATGCAAAAAATGAGCTGTAGGAAAAAAAAAACTCAAATTGGCAACCTTTACATGTTATAAACCAATACAGTATTGTGCAAACTTTTTCAGTCATTCCATATTTTTTCTGCTCCCAAGTTGTCAAACATTTTTTTAATTGTCTTCAGATTTTCTGAAGGTCGTTCAACACTTTTCTTTGAGCTCTGGGTAATTTCTCATTCATCTTTAGCTCAGTTCTTTGCCATTTTAAGATAATCTTACTATATTTGAATTGCTCAAACACAAAGAGGCTAAACTCAGAAGATTGACTCTACTGACAACTTGGCGAACAGCTTGTCACAAAAATACTATTTGTTCCTATATTTATATGGTGGAATCTTCTAATATATAAATAAGAGATTGACAGACAAATGCATTATTTTATTACCAGAAAACGTGACTTCCAAATAAGCTAATTGAGAGGAAAGAAAGAAATGCATACAGTCGATTCACTAAAGGATAAATCAGGTCTCTTTTCAGGTCTTCGGTGCGCTTTTCAATATTAATTTGGAAATATGTAAAAATTTATTGTAAATTAGACATGGGTTTTTACGATGTAAAAACAAGTGTGCATTGCCATGTAGCATGGCTTAGCCTGCAGCATTGGACTTGCAGAATGAACTTTGACCAAGTTCAAATGTGTTTTCTAAACCAGCTTGTGCCTGTCACATCAGCAGGTGTTTGTAATTAAGGTAATTGTGTGACAATATGAAGTTTGACGAGATAGATTTGTTGTTAAAGTTGCTTTAGCTGGGTTTTGAACCCTGATCTCCGACATGAAAGTCCATGACATAGACCATTAGACCAGTAGAGCTGTGGTAGAAGGTGGTGGCAGGGGTTGGTTTGTATGTGTGCAGAAAGTGGCCACATTGTCAATACAATTATTGACACAAAATGCAAAAGATTAAAACAATCAAGCAGTATTAAGACAACATTATAGTAAAACATCAAAATACAATCATATTAGTACTGTAAACACTGAACTACTGAGTTAAAAAATTAAACTATGGTGCAGTACCAAGTTGAGTACAGCATGGGGCAGTATTGGACCAATACAAGGCTACATTGACTGACATTATAATTCATTAAACATTAATATTTCATAAACTATAAGTTTTACAGACATCAAAAGGCGTAGCCATCATTTGGCACAAGGGCTTTACAGAAATAAATTACAATGGCAGCTCTAGGACAAAGTATGCAGGAGGAGAAACGTGGCAAAGTTGAGATGACTTGGATGGAAAACGAATCACCACTTCCGGTTCATTGTTAGCCAGTATGGCCGCCGGCTAACTGTTGCTAATTAAAGTCCTGTTAGCTTACCAGCTGTTTCTGTGTGGATTACTTGGCGTTAGCTGAAATATCATCATGGTAGGCTCTTAAATTTATTTTTCTAATATAGTTTTCCAAAAATAAAAACAAATATTTTGTAAAATAAAGGTTTGTTTGTTCCTCCAGCTGTATGCTAGCTAGCTGAGATGTCACCGTTCGATTCTCCCTCATCAGCAGGTAAACAGATATTTTAGCCGTTTGTTGATGTTTTTTTTTACACATAATTAGTAGGTTTGTACTGTAAGTGGGTAAATTATCATAAAGTATTTATTAGGTTCATGTTTCAGTCATTTATTAGATTTTTGAAATATGAGTTTGTTTAATTTTTAAGGTTTACCTTTGTAGTCGATGAATTAAAGTGGATTCGTGATGTTAAAGTTAACTCAGAAATTATGATTTTTCTAGCAAAATCTGTTTTATTGCCAATATAGACTTGATTGCTGAAATCAAATGTGTATAATATGCGTATTGTTCTGACGGAGAACCCGTTTTCATTGCAAAAATATGTTTTTAACATTAATATCAATAATATTAATAATTTGTAATATCCTTGTGTTCAAGTAGATGTGAGTGAATAAATGCCTAAAGAAACAATTTAAAGTCAGTTTATTTTTATTATTATTATTATTATTATTTTATTTTTTGCTGGATTTTGAAATATGTGTTACAAAAGCCCTGGCTGTTTTTTTAGGCTCCAGTCATGAATCGTTTTAAAATAATCTCTGGTTTTTCTGGGACAGTAAGTCTGGAATAATTAGTTATTTATTGTATTTCACTATTTTATTTGTCTTGTTGGTTGAACTGTTTATTTTCACCATAAGTCTAAAAAAAATAAAAAAATTAAAAAGATTAGAAAGTTTTAATGAGCTGAACAGGTAGAGCCCCCTGCAGTACCTCATCTTGCCTGTAGGTGTCGCCCCTTCACTGGGTGCAAACCAGAGGTGATCAGCAGTAAAACCATTTCAATACACATCATTTTTTACTCCCCTCAAATGTTAAATCCACTTTTTTATTGTTTGTGTGTACTGTAAGATAACTCTTGTTTTATGACAGAGGTGTGTGTGCGTGCGTGCGTGCGTGCGTGCGTGCGTGCGTGCGTGCGTGCGTGTGTGTGTGTGTGCGTGTGTGTGTGTGCGTGTGTGTGTGCTCCTTCGATACAAAAATATATCTGAAATGTGTGAGGGGTCTTAGATGTGTTTATTTATTGAATAATTCACAGCTGTGTGTTTACAGAAGAAACTGTGGCCTCAGAGCTGCAATAACACAGGGCAAATATTGTCTCTCACACACACACACACACACACACACACACACACACACACACACACACACACNCACACACACACACACACACACACACACACACACACACACACACACACACACACACACACACACACGTTTTATCAGCCATGTCAGGGTTGACGGTTTATTTGGACACTGTGGACGATGGAAATGGTTTGTAAAGAGAACAGACAACACATTTAAATTAGATTTCTTATTGTCTTCATTTGTGACAGATCGTCTGGTTTTTGGTTTACGTTTAAGAAAACTCGTGGTTTAATTTGTCTGTTGCTTCTTTTCGTTATAAATTAATATTTTTATGATTTATTATTATTAAAAAACATTTTGCTGTTGATCATTGTGATGCAGCTGCTGCTGTATTGTTTGTTCTTCCATAAATGAAGAAAATAAAAGAACAATAAGGGATTATCATGTTGTATGTCGTTTAAATATTTTAAGTTTAAATTCAACTTTTTCACAAATGAAATCTTGTGTTTTCATGTTTTGCTGGTTAAACTGCAGAAAAAGGTTGTTTTGTTTTGTTTTCTTTCTCTAAAACCTGCCTGAAAATCTTGCGCCGAACTCCATAACTTCAACTCAAAACAGTTGGATAAAGAAGAATAAAGAAAAATAAAACAAAGGAAGTAAAAAGGCAAACTGAAAGAGAGAAAACGAGACAGATGCCTACGATTCATCAGCTTGCCCTTTTTTCTTCCTCGGCGCTCCAATTCGTCTTCGTTCTCCTCTCGGCCTTGTGCTCGGGGAAGGTCAGAACCTGGAGAATCAGGCTGCACACCGGGCCTGTTGGCAGCCCCTCACCTGCCTCCCAACACCAGGTGGGACACAACCGCAGCCAAAAATACACCCGGTGGCAGGAACAACCGTCGCTTTTAATCCCTGTTGGTTCTGTGTTTTACGCTGCGTTTCGTGCCCTTTTCGTTCGTCGAGGACGAGTCGACATGTTGTTGCTCGTCCAGGTTTAGATGCATTTT